ATTAATTGATACCAAGTTTTTTAAATAAAAAAATACCGAAAAATGTGACGTTATCTCTCGGCAAACAGCCCAAGTTTGTCGTGACGTAGTTTCCTCTTCGCGCCGCTAGATGGCGCTATATGTTTGACTTTCTATTTATTAAAAAAACTAGGCATTAGGCAACTATTAGTTTACTAATCGGCAATTATGATTTAAGCTATCATAGTGAGATTGTAACATTACATTTAAATCCAAAGAGAAATAGAGAATTTATGTTTTGAATATTTCAAGTCAGTAGCGCCAGCTAGCGGTTCGAGGTTGAAACTATTTCACAACAAACTTGTGCTTTTTGCCGAGAGATGGCGCCCCATCTCAAATTCTAATTTTAATTTAAATAATAGTTTTTCTTTATATTTAATTGAGAAAAATGATTGTTTTTCTATAATGGTTCATTATGGTTAGGTAATTTTAAAGAAATAGGCTCGGAAATAATTATTTCCTGTAACATTCGACTGCAAATATGGCCGCGTTTTACATTTTTTCTCCTGGAATTAATCGGAATGATTGAGGATACTTTCGCAAAAATGCAATGTCTTAACTAGACTTCAGTAAATTACTTCAATCCACCTTAAACAAGTTGTCATTAAAAGTATTTTTGCATAACACTGAATTATCAAACATGATTAATCCCAACAAGAGCTTCGTCTCTTTTCAGCTACTCTGTGGTTGTTGGTGGACATATTCGAGCTGTCATGTGGACGTGTCTGTTCCAATCTGTTGATACGTTTACGAGAATTTATTTAAGATAGACGAGGGATTCGAGTCTTGGTTTTGGTGACGTAAAACCGTAATTACGTATACAAACTGAGAATGCGATGCCAGCACGTAGACGACACGTTGGCTCGGAGCTAGACCATGATTTCGTGATCACAACCTCAAACAGCCCCTGGCAGGGTAGTAGCATAAGTCAGCGGTATAACAATGAAAGTGAAGGGCGCGATTTAACGGAGAACGAAAGAAAGCAAACGGACATCCCACCAGCGACGATGACGTCGCGCGACAGGACCAATGAGTTCGTTAATGCCATCAGGTCGATGCAGAGCAGGACCGTGGCTCGAGTGGTCTTGCAGAATCCTCGTCGAGCACGCCAATTACAGAGCTACTCGAATTTTATGATGATAGCTAAAAGTATTGGAAAGAATATAGCGAGCACGTACACCAAGCTAGAAAAGCTTGCTCTATGTAAGATCGTAATGAATATTGTCTTCTCGTATTGAATGCAACCTGTTAGTAATGTATCATTCGATGATGGAAGAATAAGATCGCAGAGGAAATGTTTCAAGGTTAACATATCTTTGTTTTTTGTTACTACGGTATTATTGAAATTCAATCCAGAGTTCAAAGTAGAGTTCTGTTTATTTGAATTTGTTCTGCGTTGTTATTTTCAACTCATGGTCCAGCAATCATTTCTAATATTATAAAAATGACAAGAAAACAGAGATTGAAATACTTGGAAAAGGATGTTATGTACTTATTATGTGAATTGTTTTAGTGGCAAAAAGAAAGTCTATATTTAATGATAGACAAATGGAAATTGAGGAACTAACAAATATCATAAAAACAGACTTAAAGAGTTTAAATCATCAAATAGGAAAGCTACAAGAACTTGGAAAGAAACAACGCGACGGATATGGTGCTACTCAAAGTCATCATATAGCTTCTCATTCATCTTCTATTGTTATGGCCTTACAATCAAAACTGGCAAATATGTCGACGCATTTTAAAAATGTGTTAGAAGTACGTTCTGAGGTATGTAAAATGAAAAACAAAACAATAAAATGTAACATATTACTTTGTTCTTTCCATTAATTTTATATTCTTTACAGAATATGAGAGAAGAACAAAGTAGGAGGCAGCAGTTCACTCAAGGCTCTGTATCTACAATGTTACCTCCAAGTGTTGTTGGAAAACAAGGATCATTATTGTTCCAAGAACAAGACTCTGCCTCCTCTGTAGCTATAGATCTGGAACCAGCTATGGGACAACTAACATTGCAGCGCGCAATTACCGATGATACTGTAAGCAATATATACATCATCTGAATATGTCGATATTAAATGTTTGTAACTATAACTAACCAATTTATTTACTTATTAGGAAGCATATGTTCAATCGAGAGCTGAAACTATGCAAAATATCGAATCTACTATCGTTGAACTTGGAGGAATTTTTCAACAATTAGCGCACATGGTTAAGGAGCAGGAAGAAATGGTCGAGAGGTAAGAATAATTTTTTTTATTCTATGTCTATCGATAATAAATTTTGCGATCGTTTAACAAAATGTATGGGGTTTAATAAAATTTCAGGATAGATAGCAATATAGAAGATACAGAATTGAATGTGGAGGCGGCACACGCGGAAATCTTAAAATATTTCCAATCTGTAACAAACAACAGGTGGTTAATGATAAAAATATTTGCAGTTCTCATATTTTTCTTTATATTTTTTGTAGTGTTTCTGGCATAAAATAATTGTTATATTACTATGCATATTTCTTTACGCAACTTTGTAGTTGACCATCCATATCTATTACTTGTAATATAAGATCCAAGAGCAAGATGAATTTTTATAAAATTATGACTCATTAGCTATAGAATAATAATATATTCATTGCATTCCTTGACCTTTCTGTTGAAATGTGAATACTGTAAGTATTAATTATTAAAAGGTGCATCAGTGTAGATTACACGCTACATTGTTGTCTGTATAATGTAAAAAGGAAACTGTGGGTAATAAATGTATAATTTTCAAAGCTTGGCAATTTCTGACGAATACATATGCGCGGATGACAGGGTTTATAGTAAATTGGACTATGAAACGTAAAGTAATAATAAATTACGATTTATTTCAATTTTTTAAAACCTTATATAACAATTGCATTTAGTCTAAATTCATATTACAATTTAATTCCCGTTCGAATGATTTACGAAGACAAGTAAGTTTTACATTTGAACAAAGAATTATACATAACTACATAAAGAAACATTTTTACAATTTGTTCTCCCTTTTTTTGGTATAACAGCGATGACATTCGACAGACGTATTTGTGTAGCAACCTAAATATGCGTTTATTTCACCAAAAATAAATGCTGGTTTTTCTACTAGCATTAATATATCTTGCATCGCTGTTAATTATTTATCGAAATTTTATACACTTGAGAATCCCATTACTACGATGACAAATTTGATGTATGTATGATGATGCTTTGTAACAAAATAAAAGAATTAAACTTTGCTGTTATGATGCGTCTTGTCCAACGATTCTCCCGAAGAATGCAAGGAACCTAAAAACAACAAGACTTGTGAATAAATTATCGTACTACCCTCGTGAATACTCGCGATCATTGATACGAAGAATGCAAATGTTCAAAATAATAAAAACTAATGTTTCGCAACAGATTCGATTTAAATTGAGCGGTGAATTAAACAAAAAAAAAAAAACGTAAGATTAGGAACCATTGAATCAAAATAACAAAAACAAAAAATCATTTTCGAATCGTTCAACCTGGATGAATTGCATCTATTTGCAATTATTTCCTTCCATAGTACTCCAAAACTGTCTCACTTTAGAGAATCGCTTGCGTCCTTGCATGCACAACAAAAAAAAAGGGGGAAGAAAATAATAATGACAACAACAAAAATGACGAAAATCCATTGGTAGTAGTAAAATTGCTCGTTAAATAGACGGTGCCAAGTTTCTTGTTGTTGCTTTGTTGTTATATACACAAACCTTTGTGATTTCGTACTCGATCTCGCTGTGACGGATGGAAACCAGAATTGCGTGGAGGCGGCAGTGATTCGTCCCCCCATGAATGCATCGTTCCCAGGGGTCGAAGCAATATCGAGCCAAAAGGTGGAGGAGGTGGATGAATGTGATCACTGCCAAACGGTGGTGGCAGTGACCTATGATTGAAGGGCGGAAGTAGATGTGGAGACATTGGTGGTGGGGAACCTGCGGTATCGTACCTGCTGGAAGCAGGAGGATGTAAAGGCATAGGTGGCGGCGAGGATAATCGACCACCCAATGGCGGTGGTCGTTGACTAACTTCGTACGGAGGTACACCAGACCCACTAGGTAACGGGGGTGGTAAATAAGGAGGAAACAGGGAATGAAGGTAGGATGGCGGAGGCGGAGGTGGAACATTCGAAGAACCAGAAAACATTATAGGGGAGTTGGACGACTCTGCTCCTATGAATAATGAAGACGACGTTGCCGTCTCTCCATTTGCTTCCAGGCCTGTTTAAAAATCAGGTTAAGAAAATACAAGCAAAACCTAGTAATGAATAAAACTATACTGTGTATTTATTTGCCATCTATTATTCAAGTAAAATTGTGCTCATCTCTACCCTACGCTTGAGTTCTACCGAAACTATGTTAAAAAGAAAATTCAAGTTACACCTTTTTACGATTAATAGAAGCGGTAAATAAAGTGTATAGCTATAAATATTAACCATATTTCCATTAGCACCTGCTGCTAACCTATCTAAGATGAAATGTATCGTTTGACGATGTAAATACTTACGATGTAATTTTGCTTCGGAATCTGCTTCGTTAATATTCTTTTCGATAAGGGTCAACCGGTTACGCAATTGCCCTGCTTCGACTTTGGACTCCTCTAAACGTCGTTCAACTTGACGCGCTATTACCTGAAGATAAGATTTATTAGAAACGTTACAAACGATCAGATCGCAATTAAAGATAGCGTAACACGTTGAAAATTCATACCCATTGCTCGTGTGCTTTCGTTTCAAGAACGGAAATCTGATTTTTATATTCCCTTTCCTGGTCTAATATTTCACGTTCCAACATTTCTATTTGTTGTCTGAAATTTAGTTACGTATATAAATATTATATTAGTCACATAACCCTGTTATATATATCTATATATATAACAGGGTTATATAACATTAATATATATATATATATATTAATATTTACTTATAGTTTTGTATTTCATTCTGCATCGTCTGTATTCTTTCTACAGTAGATAAAACTTCACCCTGCTGTTGCAACCAAACAGCTTCTTCCCTGAAAAGACATTCCGTGTTAAGTGAAAAAAAAAAGATAGTTGAATTTATTTGTAACAATTACGACAAACTGATGGTACTTTTGTCTTTGAGCTTCTTTTTCTTGGAAAAAATTTGATAGCACTTCGAGTCGCGTCTCCGCATCTTTTTTCACTTTTTCAGCCACCTTGCACTGTTCGCTCAATGTAGCAACCTCCTCTTTGATAACCTTTACATGTTCTGTAGTTTAAAAAATTATGTTTATTATTTGCCATTACTTGCCATTATAGTTGTAAAGAGCGTTAAAAATACCCTCTAGTAAACTGTGAGCACCCTCGATCTCGGTTAATTGTATTTTTAATTCGTTTCGTTCTTCGAGCAAAGCGGTTGCTTCCGCTTTAATACGAGATACATCGTATAACTTATCCAAATCCAAGTTATTAGAATTTAGTCGATTAATAACGTCCAGAAGATCTTTCGTTTCTATTTCTTTAGCTTTCAACTCTTTCTGTAAGGCTACTTTTTCGACAGAAATCTGGAAATGAGAATACAGGTTAAAGATGGATATTCTTCTTATATACCACCAATTACACACTTATCGCATACTTACTTCCTTGGTTTGCATTTCTAATTGTTGTACCTTATCAGTCAACGTCTGTTCTAAGCTCTTCTTATTGTTGACTTGAAGCGTCAAATTATCCGTAACACGAACGAGCTCAACCTCAAGTTCTTCATATTTTTTCTTAAAAGATGTCAACTCCGCTGATAACGATTCGTTCTGCAAATCGTTTCGCGTTAAGCTATTTCTTTTATATAGACAATAAAATAAGCTATATATAAATATATGCTTTACTAAATTATAATAATATTAGACAACGCTACAATAATCATGTTCACAAACCTCAAGTTTATCGAATTCAAGCTGCGATCAATTCATAAAATACAAAAGAAAATTAAAAATACATGTTTGTTCAGAAAACGGAAGGACTTGGCAATGTGTATGCTAGGTAAACAAATGTAGCGAGATACTCGAGATCATTATAACCTCACTATAATTGTTTCACCTATTATAATTTTAATGTACGCGCATACCTCCTGAGTTTTGAGGTTAAGGGCATTCGTTAAAGATTCATTTGCAGCTTGCTGAGCATTCAATCTTGTTTGCAGATTCTCTACTGATTGGGCTAATGGGTTAACTTCGTTATCAGACGAGAGGACTTCTCGTAACATTCGTTCCAGTTCTAACCCTGCTTCGGTAGTGCTTTCTAAATCTTTCTCTAACATGGCAACGTGGTCTTCCAGTTCTGCCTTCGAATTCTACAAGAAATGACTACGCAGTTAGAAAAGAAAACATAGATTTTTGGTTTGCATAGATACATAAATTCGTAGTTTACCCGCAAAGCTTCCAAGTCGGCCTTTAAAGAGGATACCATTTCGTTGGATCCAAATGATTCATCTTCGATGGAAGTCAACTGAAACATATTTTATGACAAAAATCCAACAGAGACAAGTAGTTATTCAACGTAAAAATACAATATATTAACTTTACTACCTTATCTGTTGTTAGCTTCAAATTTTCACTCATCATCGTACATTCCTTTGTTGAAATAAGTAGATCTTTTTCAAGTTTATTGATCTTGGCTATCAATTGTTGATCTCGCCTCATATTCTACAATATAGAATTAGAATTAAATATAAAGGGTCGTAGGTTATACGATACGATGACTGTATATATACGATACCTCGATGTAATAGAATCCTAAGGAAAATATAAGAGTCGCAGTCACAGTAATCGTTAAATACATTAACGTCAACCAGTAACTGGTTTCGATTTTTATTCCTTCGATTACAGCATTCTCGTTAATATTATCTTCAATGGAACAATCGGTATTATCAGCCGCACAAACGTCAGGTGGAGAAACTGCGGAAACATTAACAAAGATTGGTAAGATATATTTGTTAATAATGTTAAATAATCGCTATACTATACCTTTTACATTATGTAAAATATTGTCTAACATATCGTATTTTACGACTGTGTCCTCGTTGTCTGATCTTTCGTACAAATTCTTATCCTGTACCATTGTGCCACCTTCAGTTTCGTATAAGGCTTCATCTTTGAATTGCTCAACTTCATCTAGCCCCACGCTTTCTACTTAACGTAAGGTATAATGTTGGTTAATACGCTTATTAAGAAAAATATTTTTAGTTACTAAGACTATTGTCTTGAAATAGATATTTACCGCTCTCAATTTGATCATCGGCATCCAATAAATTTCGGTTACGAAATTCATTAATGCTTGCAATATTTTTGAAGACCATACTTTTTTCGTTAGTATATTGTGATGCAGGTAAATCTGGGGTAGACTCTTTACCTTCAGGCAGATGGGGTGCATTTAATTCACGGGATACAATAAAACGAGAGTCATCGGTCTCATTCTTAACATGTATATCGATATCATTCTTTAAAATATTATCTTTTATATCCTGAAAAGTAGCAGAAGCTGTCGCATTATCGGAAGATATTTTATCTCCGCTTTTAGAGCCATCTTCTTCGCGGGCAATAACGTTGACACTATTACTTTCTTTAAAATTTTGATGTGTATTCTGAGGAGTAGTTGAAGTTGTTGTAACAATATTGACATTAAGGTTTCGATCTGTATCATGAGAAGAAGATGAAGCTGTTGTATCAAAGAATTGTTTACCTTCATCTTTAGAGTCACTGTTTTTTCCCGTCACAACATTGGCATTACCATTTTCTTTATGGTTCATATCTGTACCATCAAGCTGATAGTTGAAGGTAGTTGAAGCTGGTGCTTTATCAAAAGCTAGTTTACCTTCATTTTTGTAACCGCCATCTTTGTCATTAACAATATTCGCATTACCACTTTCTTTAAGATTCAGATCTGTACTCTGAGAAATAGATGAGCCTAGAGCTTTATTGAAAGCTGGTTTATCTTCATCTTTATAGCCAGCATCTTTGCCAATAACAATATTGGCATTGCCAGATTCTTTAAGATTCTGAACTATATTTTGAGTAGCTGAAGCTGTTGTTGTTGTATCCAAAGATATCTTCCCTTCATCCTTATGGCCTCCATCTTCTTTAATATTAGATTTGGCATTACTATCTTCTTTAAGATTCAGATCTGTACCCTGAGAAATAGCTAAAGCTGGTGCTTTATTGAAAGCTGGTTTATCTTCATCTTTATACCCCCCATCTTTACCAACAATATTGGCATTGCCACTTTCTTTAAGATTCTGAACTGTATTTCGAGTAGCTGAAGCTGTTGTTGTTGTAACCAAAGGTATTTTACCTTCATCCTTATAGTCACCACCCTCTTTAATATTGGATTTGGCATTACTATCTTCTTTAAGATTAAGATCTTTACCCTGAGAAATAATTGAAACTTTTGCTGCATCTATAGATATTTTACCATCAGCTTTATTGCCACCTCCGTCACTGATAACAGTATTGATATTTTCTTTAAATTTCTGATCTGTAGTCTGAGAAGTAGTTGAAGCTGTTGCAGTAGTAGTACTTTTTTGATCTTTTTTACTGTCAGATTGATTGGGTAAGTTATTTTTTATTGGAAAACTTGGAAAGGTTGTATGGTTTGGCTCTTCAGATGTTGGTTTTGAATTAGTTTCGCTTACTACCCCTTGAATACTTAAGTTGAATGTTTCTTTTGTTATATCTTTTGCTTCTGTATCAGGATTTGTTAATTTGTTTTCAGGTGTTTTGATGTCTTCTTTCAATTTAATCTGCTCTGTTTTTAACGAAGTAGCATTTTCCAACCCATTTATTTTAGCAATGTCCTTTAATGGAACTACATTTTGTGTACTTTCTACATTTACTTTAATATCTTTACTTATAATTCCTTCGTTAGATTTGCCATTATCATTTTTGTTGAATTCATTAACTGCTGTATCTTTAAGAGTATCTTTATTAATTATTTCTTTGCCATTATTAGATACAGGTATTTCTAAGACATTAATTTCATTCAATTTCTTCAGAGATTCTACATTTTTCACTTCAGTAGTTGTGTTAGTTTCTATTTTCTGTATTGTAGTTTTTTCTTCACTATGAATATTACCATTTATATTTGTGTTTGTTTCCAATGGTTTCAGTGGAACTTGTACACCAGTTATGTGTGGTAAATCTAATATCTCTTCAGAGCTTGTTACAAAATTCTTAATATCAGCTTTCTGAGGAATAGTTTCTCTGTCATTAATCTCATTGTTCAAGATTTGTTTTGGTAATTTGATACCTTCTGCAAAGATAGTTTCAACTTTTTCACTATCAGAACTTTTTGTCAAAGTATTTATTACATCTTTTTTATTTGGCACTACTGTTGCTTGAATAGTTTCTGTTTTAACTGTTGGTTGTATAGGAGACTCATTACCATCTAAATGCAATGTGGTTCCATCTATAATTTCATATGAAGGAGTTGCATTAATTACATTGTGTGGCAGTTCTTCTGTATTCTTTATATTGGGATTATCTTTGACAGAATTGGTATCATCTTTGACAGAATTCAACTTAACATTGTCCACCTTAGGCTGAAGTATTTTATCAGATTTATTATTATTATTAGGTAATTGTGTAATAGGCACTTTGAAACGCAAATCCTTATGTAAAATTTTATGTTCTTTCAAAAAACTTTTAGGTGCATATCCACGTTTGCCATTTATCTATAATTAGAAAATTGTAAAGTTACATTTGTTAAATTTTTATACTATAAATAATGAACAAAGTATACAATACACAGGAACTTTTCATACTGTTTATACTTTTAAATTATTCATAACTTAAGAAGTATATTAATCTGATAGATGAAAAATTAAATATAGTTCAGGTATGAATTGATCTTGCAGTTGTTAGATACATTTAAATAAAAATAATTTAAGTAAGAATAATAGCAGTATAGAGATTGACAGTAACAAATCATGATCTATACCTCTACACCCCATAAGTCAGTTCTACTGCCTGCTTCTTTACTGTAAACTTTGACTTCAACATTAATGTCAAATGGTAATAACCCTGCTTCATTTGGACTATACTTTAGCGACGTTCTGGCCAACGATACAGGCACTAGATAAAACATATCATTAAATAGATTAAGTGAATTTATAGAAGGAATGCACCGTAAATTAGATACATATTGAAAGTATGGCTTCAATTACCGGAACATTCAGCGTCATAACATAATCGTTCGTTCGACAATGCAGATGAACATGGTGATATTGCACTAAATAATATTGCAATAAGTAGAAATACTATATTAATAAACAAATTTCTTTTCGTCATATTTCCACTATTGCAAAGTTCCACATCACTACTAACATAAAATGACACAGCCTTGGACGCACATTTTAATCCTGAAGTAGTTTAAAATGAGATGGTTCATCGATAGGTGAGTTTAATTCGGTCTCGAAGTTAAATGCTAACTATGTCTCGCTAGAGGGTCTCAAGATAGTAAAGTCGCTATGTGGCTTCTGTAGATAACAACACATAATAATTAGTACTACTGGCGCCATTGCATTATTCATAAAAATGATAAATTAGGCAAAATAAAATACTATATTGTAGTTTTACAAAGCAAAGAATCGTGTGTTCTGTGCATTTATGATAATTAAAGAATAATTAGACGCCACAAATTGTCATTGTGTTCGCCATCTAGCGGTGAAAGAGTCGAACTAATTTCGGAGTTTGGTCAGCGCCTCTATCGTGAAAACGCCCAAGTTTGTCCTCGAATAGTTCCCACTGTCAATGCTAGATAGCGCCATTTGTATGTCTTGATTAAAAAATAAATGATTAAAGGATTAAAAAATGATTTTCATTTACATTTTTATATCACGATGCTTGTCCACTAATTTGTTTTTGGATGTAGTAAAAAATATTTGTAAAACATACAAACGGCTCCATCTAGCAATAAAAATAGGAACTATTCGAGGACAAACTTGGGCGTTTTCCCGAGAGAGGCGCTGCCAAACTCCGAAAATTAGTTCGACCTATTGACCACTAGATGGCAACCTACTTAAAAGAGAAAGTATCAGGTATAAAATATATATATAAAAATGAAATAATTTATATATACATGTATTTGCAAATAGTAACAATAAAAACTTAATAATATATTTTTTTATTTACGTATTTCTACTCACATTATTTAAATAGTATAACTCTAGTCTATGATACTTACTTACGAATTACTCCTTAAGTACAAACTTACAATAACTCTAAAAATAACTTCAAGTAACTTATTCCGAGTAAAACAAACTTTTCATACTTTTCAGTTCGTTTATCAAGAAATATATATTCCGTTTACTCAAATAAGACAAAAATTGTATTTATTATTATAATCATATACATGTGTCAATAAGTAATTAGACATTTGTACGTAGATTTACATTGAGTTTTTCACAATAACCATTCACTATACATACAATACATGCAGTTATCATAACACTAAACATTTAAACGTACGTTTCATATACTGTTATTCTTTGGCAAATTTTCAGGATTTTTGGATACAATTACAAAAATATAAATTAAAAAGCAGAAAAATAACACTCAACTTCCTTTACATATTTGTACTATAGCGTGTGTTTTCCTTAAAATATAAAACTAAATATTAATATTACGGAAACCGTTGATAACTATTCTTCGATGACAGGAACATATTTGTTACAACTCATAAAAAATATTTATGTAGTAACCATTATTTATGTTATTTGTAACATAACCATTTAAACAATAAAATCAAATAAAATTGCTCTAAACATTATCAAATTGTGCTAAAACTTTCGACCTTGCTGGTATTATCAAGATGATTCGATCATATTTAAAACATCGCTTAACTGGTCCGCGTAATAATCTGGAATTATTAAATTTTTAGTATCCGCATTAGGTGCATTCATGGCATCTACATCGCTTTGCGTTGTAATTCCTGATAATACGAGAAGCGTTTTAAATCCACAACGTTTTCCGAGAAGAATATCAGTGGCTCGACTGAAATGAAACGATTACATTTTGAAGGATCTAATGATTATAACCTTATAAATTAATATAATAATATAATATTTACTTATCACCAATCATAAGCGTTCTTGCTGGATTCAAACCATATTTCTTAGTTATGTATTCGATCAAGAAAGGTTCTGGTTTTCCAACCATTACCGCTGTTCTATCCGACGCTGCTTCCATAGTTTTTATGAAGCAACCAGTCCCTTTATTATTAAATGTAGAAACATTAATATGTATACATTAATTTTTACGATAATCGAATTTAAGCGAGCGTATTCCAACCTGGAAATTTATTAGTGTTCGGCGAAGGTCTTTCTGTATCACAATTTGTGCCTATGAAATGGATATTTGGATCCTGCAAATAAGTAGCAGCTTTTACAAGTTTAGGGAAAGAAAAATATTTATCAAAGCCGACGATTACTGCTCCAACTTCCGGATCTGGCTTGAAATTTGTTACCATTTCCACTTCATCTCCATCCATCACGTCAGGCTACAATAACACAATATATACATTATACAGTCGAAGTACATTAGTTGATAACAAATTGTACAGCTTTTATATAAGGAACTTACTCCAATGCCACAATGTTTAATACCTTCTGCTTCAAGCTCTTTAGTAATACCTACACTACCAACCACATATGCCTTTTTATCAAATTTCTTGTCTTTGAGATACACAGCAGCCAAAAATGATGTACAGACTATTTCATCCTAAAAGAGTATTTTATATAGTAAATATCCATTCTCATTCCACAAAATAACAGAATATTTACCATTGTTGCAACATATTTAAAACCTTTGCATTTTTCTACAAACTCTGATCTAGTCTTTGTGTTATTATTCGTGATATAAAAGAACTTTTTACCCAGTTCTTTAAATTTATTTACTGTTTCAGGTGACTTTGGTATCACTTCTGTTTCTTTCCAGAGCACGCCTAAGGTTTACTGAGATTAAAACATCATTTATAGCGTTATACATATACATACATAGAATCATTTTCAATTAACTTCTGATTGATTCGCTATGAGAATGGAGGTACAATGTAAAAATAACATAACATAATCTTTGTAATTTTTCATCTATGTCGATTAAATTCACACAAAATAATTACTTACCGTCGCAATCTGATAAAATGACATCAATTGAGTCTATGAAATGTTTGAATTCTTCTTTGGACAATGATGTTATACGTTTTGCTGTCATTTTATGATTACTTACAGACACGATTATTTAAATCAAAATGAAACTAACTTCTAATATGCACACAAAATACACTCTATCCTGCAACTGAGATCTTAAACAGTTTAATACAAAGTAAGTTCTTGGCTGGCAGCCACGTTCATATTTGTTGCGTGACCTTGGTTGTCAGTTACGCAATACGAGGGTATAAATTGTAGCTTTCATTCACAACTATCAATAAATACGATTGATGATAATTGCACTAATGTGGACGATGATAGGGAGGGACTAAACGATTTTTTTTGTCAATTGTGATAATAATAATCTTCCAATTGTTTATTGAGTACTGTTAAAGTACATATGTACATTTGACGTAAATCATATATATATATATATATATATATTTAGATTTGTACTTTAATCGACGTTATAAAATTACGTGCATTTTCGTAGAAAATTCTATTTTATGTAGAAAGTCTTACAAATTTGCTCTTAAATTTGTCTAAATGCGGTAAAAGATCTCCAATTGCGTCGATGTAATAATCAGGCACGAAGGCCTTTTCCTCTGAACACTTTGATTGTTTCCACCTATTGACATCTTGTAAACTGGTAACTCCTGTTAAGACTAATAATGTTTTAAAACCACAACGCGTTCCTAATAATATATCTGAATTATGACGATCCCCAATCATTAATGTACGTTCAGGATTTATTTTAAACCGTTTTATAAGTAAATCTCCTATATAACGTTCTGGTTTACCAACTACTACAGATTTTCTTTCTGCACAAGTTTCTATACACCGCACCAAACTTCCAGTACCTATCAGAAGAAACTTTTACTTATTACAATTTTAGTTAATTATATATAAAATCAAAAATATTGCAAATAATAAGTACCAGGTACAACAACATTATCAGCATGAGGAAATCTTTCATCTGTATTTGTTCCAATAAAGAGTACATTTGGATCATTTAAATATGAAGCTGCCTTTACCATCTTGGGATAACTAAAATGCTCGTCAAAACCAACTATAACTGCACCTACATCGGGGTCTCTTTCAAATCTGTTGTATGGAACATTAGGAATGACAGGATCTGGTCCTACACCAGTGTAAGAAATACCAACATCTTCCAATTCTTTTCCAATAGCTGTAGTAAAAATGATTATAGTTAGAACACTTGTAATACTCTGTAATACAATGCAAATATGATTCTTGCCTTGGGATCCTATGAGATAAACTTTCCTATTGAAGCCCAAGTCTTTCAAATAACAGGCAGCCAAATTTGATGTGCACAAAATATTTTCCTTGGTTGCTTTGAATTTTAAACTTTTACATTTCTCTACAAATTGTTCTCTAGACTTTGTACTGTTATTAGTCACATAGAAAATCTTTTTACCAAGAGAAAAGAAGGAGCTCATTACTTCTGCAGCATTCTTTAAAGGACTCATGTCCATCCAAAGTACACCTAAAGCATACGATTAGTATCATTTTGGATGTCATTTTTGTGCAGTAATGTATTTGTTGAAAAAAAAAACTTACCATCACAATCGGTAAGTACAGTATCAAAAGAATTGAAAAATTGATTGACATCATCGTCGCTGAGTGTTTTAAAATTAGTCGCGGCCATACTAAAAGACATTTCGTTATAATAAAATACACAGCTTATTATACATGTATGTTGTATACATATATACATAGGTTAGTTTTATATCGTTTTATTCAATTTGTTATTTATTTTTTGTTTACTTTTCAATTTAATACTTTTAGACAAATCTAGAATTTTAATATACTCATTCTTTGTATTAATGAAATGCATTACACTCACGTGTTTATCGAGATTGGAGTTTATTATTTGTTTAAAAAATTGTAAACCTTTCTTTTTCCTAATTTTCCACCGTTGCTTAAATAATTTTGATTCCGATGTTACAACGAATATGTCGTCTTAGACAGTATTTATGTGAGCAATATCTTAAAACGATCGAAACGTGAATTGTAGACAAACTTTGGAATTCAAAATTTGCAATTTAAATTGTGTAGGCAATAACATGTGATACTTATACAACGACTATTAGATTTATATAATAGACCAATAAATGTATGTAAACGATTACCATTTCAACTTTAAACGATATCTACATCTGTCGACGTCTGAAAGATTTCTTTAATCAGTCCTTTCAAAGTAGGGGCCCCTCACTCTCCTACTTCCTCTTTAATGTAACTAAGGAAATACACGTGATCAATCGATATCTCCGTTATAAAAAAAGATCACTGACACTAAGCACAATGTATGTCTAGTGTCGTGGTCAATTAGTACAGATGAGAGTATGAATACCTCAGAGTATCGCTTGACTGGCGTAAATGTAAAATGTCAAATATAAATATTTCAACCATGAACAAAACGGGCCGTGAAATTTGTCAAAAAATGTATTATAAAATATACCTTAGTTAAGTACATATTCAACTCTACGTACATACGTGAACAATGTCTATGTATAACAACTACGAATGCAATCAGTCTCTGCCTCCGAGTTGACCGCAAACAAAAAAAAAAGGATCAAACAATAACGGAAATGAGTAGAGAATCGGTGTTCTTTCGTGATAGTACGAAAGACTTAATTAATAAAAATCGATAACTATAGATCAACCAAACTTTCTGCAGTCGAGAAAGCATGCGCACGCTAAAGTTTGAGCGATATCGTATGTATGTACATTCCTAGATCACACAAAAGTTTTGGAGGTCACACGTTAAAAAGACCGAGCGTTACGCGACGGTTTCAAAAGTCGCACAGAAGCTCGATCGAACGAATTTAAGACTAAAGTTTCACTCACCCCCGTCGCTCCTGTACTTTCACACAATCAACATGCCGCTCTGATCATTTCGTGAGCATCAAATCGACATCACAACCGCAAATGTGAAAGTTCATGTCCCAACGGAAATGAATCTAGATATCCGTTGATCAAAACAGGTGAAAATATACACATTGACATTCACAGTTGTTAACGCTTGATGACACAAATGTAATGCTTTTACATTCGTACGTTATTTCTTATACGATAAAAGGGCTACACGCAGCAAACCATGAAGCTATCTCTCCGCTACAGTCAACGTTGAGAGTTTTTCAACGCTAATTCGTAACCAATTTTACCACTGGCTACCATGAACCCATGTTCCTCTTTAATATCTTTTCAATTCGAATCGAAATGGCCCTACAGTATCAGTCTTTTGGTTAAAATTTTGTTAATTTCATTAGAAATAGTTGAGCATAACTCTATGAAGTCCGACGTGGCTTATAGTCAAAGTAAAAGATTTTGGCTGCTCGAGACCCATTTCTTTGCCATTTCATTCTATTTCTTTGTGACCTCGAAGGAAAAAAAACAGGCCATCCGAATATCTCGGAAACTATCAATTTTGGAATGTAATTTCATTCTTTTATTAAAAGTATAAATGAGTATTCGGGTGACCTGCTGGTGTTTACTGGGGAGTGACCTTGAACTATCAAAATATTTCAACCCGGCTACGGTAAAGACGTATCTACGTTCCACAGCCAACGACTTCTACCAACGCAAATATTATTACACGCAAAACTCGAACAAAATACGTTCGGAATAAACAAATTACATTTTTCCTGCAAGTAAATATGAACGTGATTCTTATAAATATGCTACCACATCTCTCGGTACATGTAAATATAAACTGTAATATACTTACACTACGTGTTTTAAGAATAATCTTTACTTTAATAAAAATTTGAAATAAACTTAAGGTTTGATTATTGATGTCTCTACGCACTTGCGACTGCTAAATACAAACGTTTTCTATAATTCTATAACTCGCAAAATGGACCTCGTATACTTCCTACTACAGTGAAATCATCATTCATACTTTCCTTATTCGAGAACAAACAATTTATCAAAGAAATAAATAGGAACCAGCCTACGTACAGGGATCATATACAGGGCATAAAATAGATAAAAATTAATTACTTGGTAAATTCATTAAAGATATGACAGTTGAGGTCAGTTTACAAAATTTCGAGGTTAAATACAACAGTAGAACCTCGATACTTGTACACGAATCTCGTTCCTATTTTGACGAGTATAGACGGAACAAGCGGGGTCTTTTGTTTAAGATAGAAATAGATAATTGATAAAAGGCATACCGTTAACTCAATCATATTTTTGTAACAAAACTAAATCATTACTTTCCTTTTCTTCGCATATGCCACTTCAACTACGTTCACAGTTTCCATTAGCAGGGTATCCAATATAGCTACGGTAAGACCATTTTTTACCGCGAGTTCGTCATTATGAAATTTGGTCCACTCGTCCTCTTCAGCCTGGGCCTCTCTAGCCAGCAATTCGTCGACTCTATCTCTTCGTTTCCTACTCCAACGCATCACCATATTTTCTCGTTGTAGTTTCGTTTTGAAGCCAAACAACGTAGCTACCTCTTTGTTAACATATTCATTAAGTTCCTCTACAGTTTTTGGAAGTTTCATCGTGGGTTTTGTTTTTACGTTTGGTTTCGTCCAACTCGGACCTGGTTTCTCATACTCGGCTTGATAAACCTCGGCGATCGTTTCCTTGCACAGATCGAAGAGGAATGTATTGTAAATTCTTCTATCCTTCTTTACAGTCTCATCGTTCTCTTTGGTTAACTCGCAGATCTCAGGAGGAGCTTCTAAACTCATTATGTCTTCTCCAGCTTCTCTCGCTCTGAATATTAGGGTTGTAGCTTTTTCCGTGAATGCTGTTAATTCTTCTATGTTCGAGGGAATCACAGCTGGTGGAGGAGAAGGTGACCCAAGCGACACTGAAATTCGACCGCCACCACCGGGTGGTGTGTAGGGAGGTGGTGGCTTGTTGGGTATTTCTCTAACATAGTAAGATACTTCCTCTGCTTCCAATTTTTTAATCTATTAAAATAAAAAAGTATATACCGTTAAGCAACGATTACACTAGAAGAAATACCGGAGGAGCTTATTCTTACCTCTAACTCAATTTGAAGCTGTTCAATGCGAAGCAGTTTTGCTTCCAATTCGGCGACTTCCAAGCCAGGTTGTTCCAACGATGCTATATAAATAAAAATGTGAATTTATAGGGATTCGCGGAAGGCTTTATAATTAATTTATCCAGGAAAAGCAACACGAATCTTTACATTACACTATGAGTCCGCAGTTTACTTCGATTAGGTGCTTTGAGAATTAACATAAAAAAGTCCAAATATAGATAACAAAATTTTCTCGATGCATTAATAAAATATTATAAAGCTGTGATGAAATTGGACATTCCAAGTAAAATTTGTTGACAATGATAATTTCTTCCTGAAGATACTGAGAGTAAACAGAAGATAAAAATATTTTACGTATATGTGTTGTGTTGCACAATATTTACAGGCTTTCCTTGTGCATACAGAAATTAATAATTAAAGGTCAAGCACTCATGCGACACCGATTTTTACAAAAATAAAACACAAGTCAATGTTCATTTTATTCAAAGTTTCGTGTTGTATTACCTTTAAGTAATTATTATCTCGACTTTGCTATTCTGAAAATAAACAATACATGGCTATACGAGGCAATGCTTTGCACAAGAATACACAGCCATTATAAAAATCAAAACGTGTCTCTGTAATGTATGTAATATATATGTACAAATAGTGTAATTATCGGTACTCAAAATTACGGAACCAACGTAAAGTAAAATTAACTTAATTAATTGCGTTTAATTAGATTTATGCTTTTAAATATCTATTCAGCGCTAAGTTTAAAAAATTAGTAGAATATTTACAAAATATATCTTAGTAAAATTCAAATCGAACTGTGTCAAAACTGCGCGTTGTTCACCCTTAACTATATTATAACTCAAGTAAAAGTTTACATTATACAAAAATAAAAATGTACCTTTTAACTTGTCGATCATGACTTCTATATCCTTCTCAGATGTAGCAACGATGGGGGTTGCATGGTATGTATTCTTCGAATCGACATTTTGATTTTCCGCGTTAGGATTATTCAATAGATCATCATTTAACACATCGATGTCTAATCTTGAATCATTGGAATCTCTGGGCGAATCCATCTCAATTTCTGATACGCCTTTCGGAGTATCCCTACCTCCACTTGACTCAGAAGATGCATATTGTTCTTGGTTTTCTTTGTCTTCTGTATCATTCAGGGCAACTATCAATTGCACTGATTGATTTGCCTCTTCTGTTGTTACTGTTTTAGATGTCTGGCTTTCCAAATGGTATACATTTTCCATAGACTTGTCATCAACTTTCGAAAGCAAAATGTCATCTTTACCTGAAATCTCTGCTTGTGGTTTTCCACTCTTTTCGGAGATCTGCTTATCGCTTTGAAATTCTTCTTCAACAAGATTCGAACTTGTCAAAGATTTTTGTGTAATTTCATCGAGTATTCTCAATACCTCGTCCGATTTTTGTACCGCTTCGTATCTTTCTGGAATAGAAGATGTCTTTTGTATGGGGAGAGTCTTCTGAACTTCACTTTTATCAAAAATTTCTGAAACTTCGAGACTTTCTTCCGAGATATCTTCGTATTCTGGGTCTTTCAAAATGTTAAATGTCTTGTTCGCCGTGTCGTTAGGTGTACTAGGTGTAGTTAATTCAGTATATCTTCTTGTTTTGACATTATCTGCACCCTCTATTTTATTATCCGAAGTATCTGTAGGTGAAATGCATATCTTATCGTCCGATATTAATTCCAATTCAGCAACAAAAGCCTGCTTTTCTATGATGTCCAAACCACTTTCAGCTATTTCAATTAAATTATCAAGTTGTTCACCATCGGAACTATCTTGTTCTATTACGGGTGCTAGGAACGCTTCATCTTGCGTTATTTTTGCTTCTGTTTCCGCGATGTCTTCGAATTTATTTGTTTCTACAGGTTGTTCTTCTTCTAGAAATTCTACTTTAGCGTCAATTTCAAGTTCCGATAATAAATCATCTTCCACACTTCCAGGTTCCAATTCTGTTATTATAACTTCCTGCGATTTCGTTTCAATATGATATGTTTCATCATCATCATCATCATCATCATCATGATCATCATCATCTTTAATTTCAACGTTTAAATTAACGTCTATAGTAGGTTCGGTATCATCTTTAGCCACTGTTATGTCTTTGTTAACATTCTTATCATTATCCAGAGAAATAGTTTCTTCCTCGTTTACTACTGGTTTCATTTCATTTTCTCTGATCTCCGAATGACTCTCTATTTTTTCTTTTATCGAGTTATTATCGATATTCTTTTCAACTTTATCCAATATTTTCGTCACAGAATCATAAATGGCCTTTTGGAAATCATCAGTTTCTATAGTATGTATAGTTTCTTCTTCATTTTCCTCTTTATTGGTATCCGTGGTCGCTATACCCAATATATAATTAATTTTATCGTTTGTTAACTCAACGTGATAATCTGGTACCGTTTCATCACATTTAATTCCATATATATCGATGTTTGTAGATTCATAATCCGGGACAAAAGACGCATCGTTTATGTCGCTACTTACATTCTGTTCTACATTTTGGAATTTCGAATTATCATTCGACCGAGATATATCTTTCATATCCAGGAAATTGCTGGAATCATCGTTAGACAAGTTCAAATTTGGATTTTGAGATTTGTCCAACTCGAAAATAGCAGCGTCTTGCTGAGCTTGAAACGAATCAGATATGGTCCAATCATTTTTAGCAAACGGTGATTCAACCGATTTTGAAGAAGTTTCTTCTAATTCCGCAACTTCATCTTGAGTTATCTTGACATCGTTATCATCGGATTCTGTCTTATGTTTATTTATTACTTCTTTAATCTTGACAGTTTTTTCAATTGGACTCAAAGATTGCGGAGAAACTTCTTTTTTCGATAATTCGATTGCACAATCTGCAGCTGTTGTTCGTTTTGTAACATTCTGCGGAAGTTTTTGAGAAATGACGTCGCTATTATGTTCCGACTGACTGTACGTACTAATTGCATTATTTATTATCGAACTATGTTCGTCGTCTATTCTTTCTGAAGGCGTTATGGAATTTCTATTTGATTCTAAGACATGCGAGTCAACTATACTTTTTTCAATGTCATCTTCTCGGGGAGTGTACGCTACTTCGGATGCATTTTCCTCTGTATCTATACTTTCTTTATCCTGCGTTGTTCTCGAATAAATTTTAGATACAGATTTTATATCAGTTTCTGCAGAGGGATCGCTCGACGTCTTTCCACTTTTTTCATGTACAATTAATTTGTTGTTCTCGGTTAATGTATTCGAACGATTCGAATCATTCTCGGTAGCTTTAATGTGCTCTGATATTATTGATTTTTCAATCACATTTAAAATCTCCTTACTCCTTGCTTTGTAATCGATTTCTTGATTCGATTTCGAAAGGGATGTATCGTCTTGTGGCATAATAACGGACATAACATTATCAACTTCTTCTACTACACTTTTGCTGTCGTTAAAATGACTATTTTTCAAGTATTGTAAAACGTCAGAATCAGTCTCCTTGCGTTCAAGTTCTGTATCTTTATTTTTTATTGTAAATGTCATATCGTGAATTTCATTGTTTTTGTCAGATTTCAAAAGAATTTCCGATATATCTTTCGAAGTGCTTTTTTCTTCGTTATTTCGCGACTCTTCGGAGGATTTTTTACTGAAGCGTAACATCATTTCCGAAAGTATTTTAAATTCGTTCTCAAGGGAATTTATGTCTTCGTACAAAGTTTTGTTATTTAAACGTAGAAAGTCCAACTTTCGAGAGACGCCAAGCATTTCGTCGGCGCTTTCAGTCTTAATTTCTGCCTTGGAATCGTCAGCGTTAGATTTTTCCGGCGGAATACGGGAGTACTCGGAATCTTGTACTTTGTCAGCATCCGATTGCGAAGAGATACTTTTTGCTCGAGACTGTTCGGAGGCGGTATCAAAATCTGATTTATATTCTCTTAAGTCAGATTGAATGGTAGTATCATTTTTGGAAAGTTTTATTTCCGATTGCGTAGGTATATCTTCGTCAGATTTTGCTGCGCTAATTTCCGTTTCGATATCTTCTGTGATACTGGACCTTTTTCCGTCAGATACAGTTTGTCTGTTTTGCATTTCGTCTAGGTACGCTTTACCTCTGTAAGTAATATGTTTGTCAGATTGAACATCATCGGAAGCAACCGACGATATCGAACCAAGTTTATCGGATTCAGTTTGTTTTGGTCTGCACTCATCGAGAATAGTTTCGATACTGCGACCAATAGCACCCGCTCTCGTGGAGCTCAATTTTTCCGAAGTTCGTACATTTCTAGAAGAAGACGGGGTTATTTTCTCAGAATAATTTTTATCATATTTAATTCCAATGTTCTCGTTTCGAAGTAAATTAATAGTTTTCATAGGGTCTCTCGTTGGTCTTTTCGTAGATAACAAATCGGACTCTGATCTAGATCTTAACAAATCGCTATTTTTAAATATATCTTGAATCCTCTTCAGAGGAATTTCAGGTACTTTAAAGTCTGCTAATGATTTCGACTCTATCGCTAACTTATCGCTGTCTTTATTTGTTCCCTTTTTCGATTCCAGCTTTCTACGCATTTCATGAATGGTTGTATCGTATTTCTGTTTGCAAAAGAGGATTTATTTAGCGCGCGAAATGTACCAGCGAATGTATTTCGATGTAATTTTTATACTCACCTTGATTTGATTTAACAAATTAGTTTCCAAAGCTCGAAGCTTTTGCTTCGTTTGCTTTCTGGCTTCTCTCTTCAGACGTGACATTTCTAGGCGCCGTTCTGCCAATCTTTCAGTGAGTAATTCTATTCTTCCTTCGATATCGCTCGTGTCGGATGAGACAGTTGTATCTATAAAGGGACACACACTTCTCTCTGATAGTCATCAGAGTTAAAAAAAATACGTATTTATTTCAAATAAAAACTCGTTCGAAGTTTAATTTATACGCAACGTGGATAACTTTAATTTACCTTGTTGAGAGAAAACATTGGACGTTGTGGTTACAAGTTTAAGTGCAGCTTGTTCCATTCGTGCAACACGATCTTCTTCAGTTCGTAGTTTTGCATGCCAGGCCATCCACTCTTCCACGCAGTTTTTCCGTGATGTAAGTGCGGCTTCGCGTGCATTCAAAATTCTAAACAACGTAACCACGTCTGATATCACGAATACACTTTCCATAATATTTAGATGATCATAAACAAATTAACGTGGCGATTACAGGAACTTGACATTATTTAGAAAAAAAAAATTACTTAATTGCAACGATAAAACCGGACACTCTCCGCTACCGTGAAATACCCCAATAACGGTGGAATGCAGATCGCCGGTGCAGAGAGTCTATTTTTACAATGCTTTGCTTCACGGTGTGAATACACAGTTTATTATTAGATTTCTTACACATGTCTTTAACGATTCGCAATTTTATTAATTTAGCTCGAATGTTACGATGTATTAAAAATAGTTAATAAAATTAAAACGGTGAATAATGTGAAGAATCTAAATAGATAATCGACTATGCATGTACTTACTGTTCAAGTTTCTTTGAAGTTTTCAAATTGTGATCTTGAGATCTCACGACCACGGATTTTGAGTAATTTCGATCGCTCTCCCCGGAACTATGATGAGAAACCGCAAAATTACTGACTTGCGATTTCGTAGACATATTATCCAGATTGTGCGTGCTCTTATCTTGACTATGAAAGGAACTCTCATAGGCTTCGACGCTTTTGTCAAATATTTTTTGACATAATATATTCTCTTTACTCTCGTAATCGTCTATTATATCGGTAAATAATTTAAAGTTCTTATCTTTCGTAGGTTTGGAATGCCTAGTTAAAGTTTGCAGAAAACTCTGGCTTTCGTCGTGATCCATGCTATCCAAAATCCCGTTCTCATCGTTTTTATCGGACTGAATAAATTCCTTCTCCATTCTCGTTCGTTTATTATGATGTTTAATAAACTCTTCCGACATCTGAGAATTGGACTTGGATCGTAATATATTTTCCGTAAGTATGCTAGAAGATGATTTGCTTTTTTGGCATTTTGATGCTTTACGTTTAATATTCGATTTCGATTCGGTACTGTATTGAGTTTTTTTCGACATATCGGTTGGAATTGATTTACTACTTCTTTTAGAACTTTTCGAATGTGTCTGTATAATGTCTTCAGAGACTTGGGATGATTTCGATGTCTTTGATACAGTGTCTTGGCTAACAGAACTTATTTCTTCAGGAACAGTTTCACTGTTCGCGACTGTAACTTTCGATAAAGATTCTCGTTCTCTTGGCGATACTATACTCTGAAAGTGATTATCAGACATATGAGAAGGCTTTGATTTCTTAGACAGTTCTTCTACCAGAGTATCCGATTCTGATTTAGCATGTTCGGAAATGGAATTATTTAAATTCTGTTGCAACAATTCAGAAACATCGGGAGACTTTTCTTTTTCGAAATAATATTTTCCAGGAATACTCATGGAACGAGCCGATATCAATTTTGGATCGACGGAATGTTGATGCGACTTCAATCTTAAATTATCCGCTCTAGGCATTTTTTCCTCGAATTTCCTCGACTTTATTTCATACTTGGATTTGTTCCCATCTTTCTGCAATTTATAAGGACACTTTTCTTGAGACGTATTGCTTTGAACGACTTCGCTAGATTTGTCGAATCTTAAGAAGGACTCGTCAGGCTCTTGGACGAAATCTGTGAATTTACTACTTTTTGGTAGGTCCAATTTAGAGAAGCGTAACTCATTTTCAGACATCTGCATGCGTCCATCTGTCTGAGAACGATCGTGCTGAGACTTATCGGAATCAACCAAAGAACTCATAGAGCTGTTACTTCTTATATCGTAACCCTTCATCGGACCGGATAATCTTCTCGGTGATTGGCTATCCGCACTTCTTTTCAATTTAGTTAAAATATTTTTAGTGGACATTTGAGGATTGAACATGTTCCTTTGTTTTTGCAACATAAGTTTACGTTCTTGGCTCGCAATTTTATGAAGCTCCTTCAACCTGCTCATCTCATCCTTTTCTTGTTGCAATTTTAAAAGTAAAGCTCTTTGTTTCTTTTTCACAGAGCTAACGCGGCTATCTTGGCCGGTATCCTTTAACGCACGCTTCCGTTCCTCCAACTTTACCAATTTTTTAGTTCGATCATTTAACGTCTTCTCGCGTGACTTAAACAACATCTCGAATTTATCGTATCTCTGTTTTTCATCTTTTATTAATTGTGCAATTTCTAGATCTATATATTTATTAAAAGAACAAGTTATATCTCGAGTGGAAATGCTAATCTCCGTTCCAGTTTCTGTTCGTATAGATGACGTAGTTTCGTGTAAACTTATTTCCGACATTGTCCTTAATTTACTAGGTAACGATATTTCTTCTATTTGATCCAAGTCTTCGAATTGTTCCGCGGAATCCAAAGAAAGTTGAGGAATCTCGCTATCGCCAGCAAATCCTCGTTCGTATGAGACGCCGCAAATCTCAGAACATCTACTTTGTACATTTCGTCGAGTTGAACGTATTTCCGTTTGCGTCGCCATATCGTTTACCGTTTGAGTTTGTACTTCTACTGCTTTAACTACTGGCTTATTCATTTTATGCAGATTATCAAACTCATTTACCGTAGTCGGACTTGTAGGGTAATGCGCTTTATCGGTTGTGACATGTTTATGTAATTTACTAATTTCACTACATTGTTCCATGTTGTCGGCGTTTCTTTCACCCGACGATTTAGAGAAATGCGATTTTCCATGATCATTTGATTGACTATGCTGCAATGGTAACTCTTTATCTTGGTCCTGTTTAACATTATATAAACACTTTTCAACATCCATAACCTGCCTCAGCGACTCGTTAAAGGAATCAAGGAGATGGAGCTCTGCTTGAAATTGCATATGTAAAGCAGTTGGATGTAACAGTGGAATGCCTTCTTGATCTGTTTCCGTTTTAATTGTATTATACTTTAAGCACTTGGAATCAGCATCTGTATTACTGTTTTGTATAAATTGTCTTTTTCGCTTAGATCGCGGTAGAAGATTCATCTCGGGTGTTACTAAATCACAAAATTCTTCTGGTTGTTGTCTGCTTTCTTCTCGAAAAGAAATTCTTCTCGGATCGAATAACGCATCCGACAACGCGCTATCGTTTAAATTAGATTCATTACTATTACTATTACTCGATTGCTTGGCTGTAGTAGTAATGCTTTGTGTAAATGATTCTTCTTCATCTTTTTTTGTATTTGTACTAGTGCACTGTGGTAACGAACTGTCCGTATATTTCGAATCGTCGGTAGTTTTATTCGATTTAATTGCGTGAATGTTTTGTATAGCTTTTTCTAAATCTTTGACTTTTATTTGCTGGTTAGAAATAGTGCTCGGACTTCGAGTTCGTACGCTTACATTCGAATCCGTTATACTTTCTTTATCTTCAAACTCCTTGGAGTTCGTAACATACGTTTTGCCTTCGGTTTTACTCGTAGACGGTTTTATCTTTTCAGATACCCTTTTGGTTTGCTCTTTGAAAGGTACACTGCTCGATTTTCCTTGAGGCTGACAAGTTACCTTATGTTGCTTTATTTGCAAGTCGTCTTTATATCTGTGATCAAAATTTTCAAACGCATTTCTAGATTCCCGGACTGTTATCTTGTCCGGTAATTTTGAAGAACGCTCCGAAAGCGATTCGTTACTGCAAGTTCTATTCCTAGATTCTAAAGAAGCATCTCTCGATTTCAAAGATCGCGGATTAGTAGACCTATGCCTTTTATCATTATCTTTTTTGATACTAGAAGTAGCTACATTTTTTGATTTTGGTTTTACTAGAACGAAATCGCTATCTTTCGATATGTGAAACGATAATCTGTCGTTTTTTAATTTTGTAGCCGATGCAGTTTCATTTGCGTTATCGGGAAAATCTTTTCTAGAGACACACCGAGGGCTTCTAGATCTTTTGAGGAAATCTTGACCCACTTCATCCTGCTTCGCGAACAAAGATTCTTCTTTCCGAACTCTCTTGGATCGATTCTCTTTCTCTCTGGAGTTTTCTCGAATGTATTCTTTTTTCTTTGACAAATTTGAAGATATAGAAATGTTTGGCACCTTCAACGGTTCTATCTCGCTGGTGACTATCGACGAAACATCCGACGTCGAAAAGTCTAACCGTCGTTGAACTCGTTCGAAACTCTTTGTCGGCTTATCCGCTCTTTCATGAATAAGTTCCTTCGAAGGTGTTTCAAATTTAGGAGACGTTAATTCTCTCGAAGTAGAATTTTCTCTGGTAGCAAAGTCTAATTTCTTCGCCGAGATTTTTAAATCCGGAACTTTTAGCGGTCTTATAAGATCCATTTTCTGTACGATTTCGTGTAAATTCTGAGAGCTATTGGACTTTAATACTGTAACGAACGGATCAGCTACATTTTTCTTATTTGGATCATGCACTTTTTTGCAGACTTTGGAATTATCATCTAAAGCAAGTTTTCGTTTTACCGCGCTTATAAAGGTAAACGGATACGGTTGGACAGGATGATAAGACAATAAATTTTCTAAGACTTTTAAGTTGAATTGAGTAGAAGGATTAAGTTTGTCTTCGAATATTTGCCTGGCAATATAATCTTGGTGTTGTTGAAATTCAAAATCTTGTTTAATTTGGGCTGCCTGAAATTACATATTGCAAGTATGTTAACATTTAAAATAAATAAATACAGATTACAAACAACAAGTACACCTAAATTTACTTACAGCTGCTGATTTTTCAGCTCGTTGAACAATAACATCTGGATCAGAAAAAAAGACATATTTCTTTCTGTCTTCCTTCTTTAGCGTTCGCTCTGTTTCTTCAGTGTCTTCCTTTTTACAGCTACTCTTCATATTTTCATAATTGGTGCGTTGTAATGAATTTAAATTTAACTATCATATACTTGTCCATGTTTATATTTGCAACGAATTCTGCAACTGTAAAGAGAATTTGGATGATTAGGTACACTTTTGAAAAATGTATTTAAATGGATTGAAATAATTGTTCTACAACACAGGGCAAACTATGTTAAGTCCAAAGTTTTGAAATTTATCACAGATATAATAAGTCACTCTACCAATACATTTTTCGTTGCAATTTAAGATGGTATGTGTACAAAATTTAGGCTTAATATACTTGCTTTCTGAGATAAAGATATAAACATTCACAAATTATTGCACATTAGGAACAAAAATCAGAGTAACTGTCACATATTTGATGAAAGGAACTGACTGAATCGTGCATTGCAAAATAATGAAAAATAATTTCTACTTTAATAATATTTATCGATGTATTCAAACTTACGTTCGTACACTTAACGTGCTTCGAAAACAGATGAACGATGAATAAGAAATTCACGAAAATACGGTCGGATGAATTTTACTTATAACCTAATTCGAGACGCCATGTTTCGTCTATTAAGTTTCGTGAAATCAATTTCCTAGCGTACAGCGCAAAATGACGAATGCGTTTTGAAAAATTCGCAAAAAACGTGGTTCAAACGTGTCATACATCGTTCACATTTTCGTAATAACGAACACAATAACCCGTCATAACGGTCATTTGTAAACGACAATCACGTGGTATTCCACTATTTGATACTTGAATAGAATTGGAAACATGGCAACGGTAAAACACGAATGATCGATACCACGGTTAAGGTTAAACCAGTTAAACTGGTACAAGACACGCGTACCAGTAACGCAAGGGATGTAATTGTTTTGTAACGATCAACATAATATTACGCGAAGCTCTACTACTTTGCTTAGCGCGCAAAACTTTTCCAGGAACGATATAAAAAATGATAAGCAGTAGGTAACTGTCCATAACATCGAACAGAAATATGTTATGTACTACCTGGAACGGCTCAAATTTTTGCAACTTTGCCAGTCCTGATAACATCGATTTTATGCAACGCGAACAGACTATGAATACAAGAAGCGTATCACTCAGTATAACCATGAAGCTTCAATCCACTTTGTGTTAGCCAATCAGAGAAAATGTTTTTGCATTGATCTTTGGAATATGTATGAGGTTTCTCTGGTAAAGAATTGTGTCAAAATTTGATACTCCACGTTACGTTAATCCTTTTAAATTTTAGTGGATATCCATAGACAAAATGACTGTATGTAGTTTGCAATTGTGATAAATGATAACATTGGGTTCATTCCATGAAGACTATTCCGTTCGGAAAGGCTACCGGTCGGTAAACCGCTCTATAAGAATACTAATGACGCCATCAGTGGCAAAATGCTCAAGTTTGTAATGAAAATAATTCACGCTATTGCAGCTAGATGGCACCACTAACTAAATGCTTGGTAATTATTACCAAATTAAATAACTATTCATAGAAATGTTAATTGAATTGATATATTGTAGTATTATAAAGCAAAGAATCGTATTAATTATGCAATTTTAAGAAAAATAAATAATATAATTGTCTAAAAGATATCGGTGGCGCTACCTTATGAAAATAGTAGGAACTATTTTCACTAGAAACTTGGGTGTTTTACCACCGATGGCGCTACAGGTACTAAATCCGCTCACTGAGCGGCTCACCGAGCGATGGCCTTTCTGGATGCACCCTATTATTGCTGGTTACGTTCAGTTACGCTGCTTTTAATACCTAATTCATCATATATTTACTATCTCTATCGTTATCAAAGTGAACCTGTGTTTGTCTTAATATTTAGAGATCTGAATTTGTGATATGGAAATGAAGGTGATCTAGAAACAAATCATCGATAAAGGATTAGTGAGTGCATTCACCTGGCAAAGGACAAACGGAATACGATGGAATACTGCATTTGCAGTCGTTATTCTAAGAATTTTTACACGGTATGATAGTTTGGTGTTAATAGTGCATTCAAAGAATTGGGCGCCAAAAGTGTAGTGACACCTGGAATCCACTGTAGCTGCGCGGATTTGTTACGTCGATTATCAGCATTTAAATTAAAAAAACTTCGGGTGAGTGTTCCTACGTATAAGATTCAATGTTTATCGTATACTTTACACGTAAAAGATATTAGAAATATTAGCAAATTATTCGTGTTATGTATTAGTCGCGATGTTAACTATTTACAAGTCTCGTATATGTTTGTCGAAGTATACGTAGAAAATTAACGAAGCATTTTTTAACAATCTACCTTCTTGTATTAGCTAGGCATAAGAATGGGTATTATTTACAGTAATAACGCGATGAACTGTCCACTGTAAGCTATAATTATGTCAGGTCTCCTATCAGAACCTACTGTTAAAGTGAGGTTATGGTGTCACACCATCGGGTTTGTTTACCTATCTATGATCGATGAAATTGTACATCTCATTCTTAGAAATCGATTGTATATCATTATAGTAACTCAATTATAGAAGTCGCGATAGATAGAAACAATTAATTTTTAAATTGTATATCTCGTACTCGTGTTAATATTAAGTATATTATTTCAGATCGCGTATCCTTCGAAAGAAACGAACAGATGAAAGTGTTAGGTATCCATGACCATGGTAGAATTACCAAGACTTCCGTTGGATATCGCAGTTCCACCAAACATTCTTGCGCGGCGCGATGGGGTTACCGTTTCGCAAGACATCATCGCGACATTCTTTCAGGTAAGCAGAACTAATTATACATATCCTCGCTTGTGAAAATGCGACGATCAGCATTATGGTATGATCGAAATGTTTAATAACAACAAGGTCGGTTTTATTATCGAGACTTGTCAATAGGGTAAGGCGTTAATAAAACACGGTATTTTCGCGATCGATTCGCAGCACGCGTACAGACTAAATATTTGTATAGACTGTAACGTCGGGTGTAATAATTTATGGCAGAAGGAAGTTCGTTTCGCAGCCTTGTATCGAGTCCAACGGAATGTTCTATTGAAAATACGATTCATCATTTCTACGAGCGTTAGGTAATATTCGCGTTAAAATTAGCTCGCCTATTTGCGACGAATGTAATAGGGTCATTTCACGAATCTCTTACTATTCCAGACAAAAGTTTTATGTCCTCGTCGAGTTGACCATGATCGAGTACCTACACGAATTTATCCTCTCGATATGTTGTCCTTCTTATCCTCTGCTCTCCATACTTTCAGGTAGAAGATGCGCTTCAGGTGCGTGAAGTTGGGATCGATATTGCAAGCAACTCCCTGGGCTGTAACATGCCCCTGCGGCAGCCATCGGCTGCACGCGATGATGCTAAAATTAAATTGATATTTACGCCCTTCCACATCTTTCTTCAGGCTCTCTCCCTTTTACGCTCACGAGAGCGCCACCCCCTTTCTCGCTCCCTCCCGCCATATTTTCTTCTGCATTTCACCCCTCTCCCTTGTGTTCCCTTGCGTTCATGTCACTAACCACGTGCCCAATCTTATCAGTGACGCAACCCCCTGTCGTTCCGGGTGTTGTACGCGTAATCGCTGTGCGTGTATGCATAATAACTGAGACTGGAAATTACGTTCATAAGTCGATTAGAGTTAGGAGTTGTAGTCTTTGAGACCAATCAGTCTTCGTATGGTTAACAGCATACACACTCGACAAGAAAGACAATTTATCATTCGACTTGCTTCCCCTAATTTAGAGGAAAATTCCAAACATCCCAAACGATTCGATCGTTAGCTTTCGTTTAAATACCCACCCTTTTTCACCGCACTTTGAACTTTATTCTTTCAGGCTTCCTCCTACTACAACTGTACCTTTATCCCTATCAACGTGCCATGGACTCGTTAGCTTCTTTTAATCACGCTAATCCTTGTTTCGTTGTTTCCAGATAACAGTTCTTTTTGTCCCTTCCGCCCTAGCACTGGAGAGCATCATCACACATCCGTCTTATTCGTACGTTATGGACTCGCAGGGACTGTTACCAAGCATCCCTCATTCTCTACTGGCATAACCAGCCTGTGTGTTTCTTATTCCTCGTCTTCTTCCGGTTTATATCCAGTTTCGTTCGGTACAGTCGAACCGAAGAGAGGAAGATCGCGAATGATCTGAAACGGCCCTGAGCGACGCTTCGCTATCGACTATTCGCGGGATCGCGACCCGATTCTCACCCTTGTTTCTTCGGGGATCGCCGTGCTCGCTCGTGAGGGCTCGGGCACTTCTACGCGAGTGTCTTGATCACCTCGGAGTTTCATTGATCTCTTGAAGCGCGGTTGCGCGCAATGGTCGGGAAACGGCGGTGGCACTCGCTTCGACCAATCCCCGCTCGGGATTCCCTGGCTACGCTCGAGTCTCGTGGTCCTCGGGTAGCCGGTCGCCTCTTATTGTTTTCCATCGTGGTTACACTCTGACACGTTCGTTTGTGCGACGCGTAACGTGGGTTTCAACGTCGGCGTCGCTCGTCGAAAACGGAGGATACGCTGAACAGGGGTGGCCACGAGCGAGGACGACCGGTAGAGACGTGGTTTCCTCGGTGGCAACATTCGAGCGGATCGTACGCCCCCTTCGTGTCGGCGCCGTCACCATGATACCGTACTCCACGTGCTTGTCTTTCGGGGGCCGTCGCGACGCTCGTCGCTGGGTGGTCCTTCACAACGAATCCTCTCCCTACCCGGTGAGTCGCAGAACGAATACGCACGAGCACGCAACCACCCGTCACGTTCGAAAGATGCGTGGTCAAAGCCACTGCTTCTACTCCAAAATCATTTGTACGGTAGTGCGAGCTGAACCCAATCAGAGGGTAGTCGTGTTTCGGAGCCCTGTGTCCGATGCACGACCATCGTCTATGTATAGAGAGTGCTGCTGCGATTCGCGTGCGCATTATGCCTCCGGGTTCGACGAACGACTGCGATCAATCCGATTTTTCGATTCCAGCAGTGATTCAGGGCTAGTGATTGTGCTCGAGATTTTTCTCGGAGAGATTACGATTTTCATCCCGATTTTATCGTGATTTTATTTAACCCATCGCCTTACGATTTACTGTAGGACCGTGCGTGTCATAATCGGGTATAAAATTTCTTGAGCACTTTCGCACGACGTGTCTAACTCGTGTTTTTCACGTTCGACGCAAATTCTATACGAGCTCATGTGTTGTCATAGGTTGGAGGGTTGATATAATTTCTTAAAAAGAAACAATATCTCGAACCACGATTTTATATCATGTTTAGTTTAGGAGTTATATTTCCTTACAGTTTGGTAATATCACATTTGCTTGGTAAAAGGACGACGACCTTTCTTTAGAACTCTCGATCTTTGTCTGTGATGCTTCTTACATAATTATAACTAGACTATGAATTTTATGCATCTATGACGTACGATAATATATTCTACATACATAAAGTATACATAATGTATGTGGAACTTATCCTATTGATATAATATTGTTGCACAGTATCCATTAACGCGTGTATTGCATTTCGTATTCTGCATTCGAAACGATTTTATTTTCGTGCTAGTTGGTATACCCGAAAAACGGTTCGCATTGATACGCGTCTAAAAACGTTTCCTTGGCAAGATGCACTTTAGTTTATTATTAGTGTATATTAATCATCAACGTCGTGAGTCAGTTTGTTGCGCTCCTCATTATGTAAGCATTGGAAACATGATTAGCTTAACATTCTATCATAGGAGAAACTAGCATTTCTGCAAGACTTAAAACTGGTTTCAGTCTGGCAAGCAAATTAGTTTACACCCACTGACATTATAAAGCCATACGTTACACCATGACACGATCGAAACTAGTCTTCTTTTTTTTTTTTTTAACTATTTCGCGAGTACAGGGTACTTTTTTTTTGTTTGTCAGATTTTTCTCCTGTTTTTTATCTGCTCGACTCGGTGAAACCGTGACAATGAACCAATGATAGGAAAAGAAAGGATTAAAAGTTTTATCGAATGACCTGGTAATCAGATAAGCTTCTCTATGTATATAACAACGGAACGAGCTCAGTCGTTGCAGCTTATTATAAAATTGAATCGATGCCCCTCGTTGAACGTCTTGCGGATGAATTGCACCACTTTATTTCCCTGCAAGGATGTTTATAAACAACAGAGACAGTATCGCAACGAAACGTGCGATTGGGTAGAAAATTCAATCATTGCAGAAAAATGGAGTCGCCCGATCGAATAAGAAGGAATTCTATTTAACCGCTCCCTCCACCTTCGACTTCTCTCGTTGGAATGGTTTTCTTTCGAAACAAAATTTCCTCCCTGCGTAAATTGAATTTTCACGCGGAGCAATCCATTTTCGATTTACCAAGGGATTGTCGAATATCTGAATATCTCAAATATCCTATTACCCAGCGGGAGAAATTCTGTTTTCACGTTCTGGAATGCTTTTTATTATTTTCCGGAATATCTCCTTTGCGTATCGTATCTGGAACACAAAGTAAATGGTCCCGAAGTCTGGTTCTGAAGCACGCAGCTGAGTTTAATATTCAAATCAAATGAATTTTTGATGAATTAAAAAAATAATTCAAAGTTGACAACTACCACAGAGGTTTATACGAATTCAATTCCACGATTGGTAAAACTGCCCTCCGCTGTATTATTTTAATTCACGGAAAACATCGCGAGTCTATTTTTACTCCATCGCAAACAAATTAGAAACTATCTGGAAGAAAAGTAGAACGCGTAACGGTAAATACAGCCAGGCATACGTAAGTCGGCATTGCAATTCCAGGAGTTTGCGTAAAATTGATAGCGAGCTAGGTGGGCGGAATATGTATTTGTCTCATGAACTGTGAAGTAGGTAGGTCGAAGGACTACTCAAACAAATTATTTCGAGCTGATTGCTGTTTACGGTTGACATTTCGAATCACGAACAGGGCGCTGTAGGTGTTATCGATTAAACTTTCGTGAGCTTGTTAGGTAACATTTCTATGCACTGTTATCGGCCCTGATATTCCCTGATTAATCCCACGGTTGCTCAGAATTATCCACCCACCCCGAAATAAAAGTCGGTAAAAAGAAAAATATATAGTAAAAGGAAAATAAGTAAAATCTCGAGGCTCCTTTCGAAGCCTTTATTCTACAATGGCAAAGAATTCCAATTCGAACGCATATTTCGAATCCCTTTTGACCTGTGTCGACATCGTCGAGTAGGCTTCCAACCTCAAAACGAAGTGGTCGATCTAAATAACTCGTCGAACAGTTATTCAGCACACTCGTGCTATCGCAGCGCGTCAAATTCTTGACCGAATATTTCCTGAACGTTGCTCGATCTATAGATCTTAATGTCCTTGGCATTTTTTTGAGTGCTGTACGAAAACGTTCAGAAAACATTCGATGGTGAATTGCGACAATTAGGTATCGAATCAACAGAATATTATCGTGCGAAAGAAAATCTGTGGAGAATCAACGCTCAGTTTTAACTCGTAATAATCGTCCAACGAGGAAACGTAGACAAACGGGTTGATAGAAGCAAGGGTGAAGTTATCAGAGAAATGATGCGATGAAGTGAAGATAATATGCAGCTACCTGTGCAGGCTATGTAAACAGAAGGGTGCAAGGAAGTATTTATTGATCGGTACAGTGATAAAGAAAAAGACAGAGCGGAAGAGCGCGTCGACCAACAGCGGTGGATGCGAAAATGTGATCTGGATTTCTAGCAAGTTCCATTTAGGAAGAAATTGTTAACAGAGTACTGTGATAAATTCATGGAAGTACATTACTAATCTCGCTGTTGATTCTAATTTCGAGTTATACAATTAATTATGGGAAATTAACATCAAATAACTGCGTTGCGATTTCGTAAGCACAAATTGTATTGTCCTGTATCAAACATTTTCCCAATACATAACAAGCGACGCAATGTATATTTAATGTTACAACGAGTTTATATTTCTGACCGATACAGTGAGTTTACGCGCATCCCAGTGGAAATTCACGTTACCGCAGCAGTGAATGTAAAATCTCAAATGCGCAGTTAATTAAAGGAAATTAATTTTAATTAATCGCGTCGCCATTTCGTTGCGTTAAATTACATTGTTTTGCATCCGACGTTCTCGACTTCAAAGCGATACGTGGCTCCGTGATTCCGCCATTTTCCATCGCTAAAAATTTCATTCGATGTAGAAGAAATATTTCGACACTTTATTTTCTTTTATTTCTGCTAAATTTGGTTTTACATCGATCATTGTTAACACATAAAATCAACAGCCAAATTATTACATTATGAGACGTGAAGTTGGCATTACATTCAGCACTCATCGGGGTGTACGGTGTACTAATTTTTGCAACGTAACGCAATTATCTCAACGAGTTTCGTACAACGTGCATTCCCTGTTAATTACAGCCAATCTACCCACGGTCACGAGTTTCTTTAAATTCTGCCAATTCTAGTTAGTCTGCCATATTGCAGCAATAACAATATATCGAGATCTTCGATCCAATTTGAAAAGTAGAAATTTCAATACTTTCAACTTCGATATTTTCGGGATTTACTTCTTAATTAAATTCATTCCATACTAGCAATCATAGTAGTAATATTCTTTATTGTCCCAGAGTTGCATGCAATATAAATTACCAATGCAATTATTCAATAAAAGCCTCGTTTGTTTTAATATATAAAATAAACTCGTTAAACGAGTAAAAAAACGAAATATGATATAAATACTGGAACCTGGTAAATATGTACACTGAAAAAACGTTGGTGTTGGCATAACCCAGAAAATGTTTAAAATGTACACAAAATTTCCACAGTTACTGGAATAATACGCAACAAGGCAAAGAGGAAAAGTGTAAACAGTTTTTCAGATATTTACCAAAGGAGAGCCTATTTTGTTTATCGGTGGCGAACGAGTGAAAGAAATTCCTCGGTGTATCGTTGCTCCAATTTTTTTCGGACGTTTCAAAGCCGAGCCCCTTGAAAAAAGTTGTGCATGCATGCAAACAGCACTCCGTTGTTGTCCTATCCTCCTTTCCATCGCTGCGCAGTTTACGTAAACTTTCCCTAGAAAAAGGTGAACGGATAAAGCTTAACAATGCTTGCCAGTCATTTTCTCGGTGCATAGGCTAATGAAAGATAGAGGATTGTTTAACAGAATTACGGTAGAGTTTAGATTTACCGATCAGCGAATTTTAAATAGATCTTCGTTTCTGATTAAAAATACACGCGAACCAAAGCAATTTTTATCTGAAAATTGACTTTTAAAATCGAAATATGCTGACTCGTGTGGAGTTTTACTGCACAGGCTTGATTTTTCAGAAGTAAACATATAATTAATAATTTTATGATTCATTCTTGAAGGAAGGTATTTTTCAAGCCCAGATTTTCTTTAGATTGCTCCCTTTGGAAAAGGAAAAATTGTGTTTATTACGACGAACGTCAAGGGGCTAATAGGATTGGCGCGGCGGAATGAAATAAATAAAATCCATTTCTCAGATTGAAATTAGGTCCATCAAGGGGATTTTAAGGTTCGTCGTGCCTTAAAATTGTATTAAAAGCGTAGAAAAGCGTCTCCTTCGAAAGACAAAGCAATCTCGCCGTCACGGTTGTCGCAGAAAGTAACAAAATAATAGGGTTAATCGAACCGCACTATTTATATTTAATTTAGTTTTTTAATTTCGTTAGTCACTTCGTGAAAAGTCTAGATAATACATATAAGTGGAAAAGTTATAGGCGACCTACTTTTCTGTCCATTAACAAACTTAACCAGGAGCGTTGAATCAGCTATTATTAGATCAGCCAGTGTCATCGTGTTAGAGTCATTTAATACTGGGCTATATTCGAGATCTAAACAAGACATATTGTACAACTTATAAGCTCCAAATCCACGGAATTTATGCTGTCCTCCCTCTAGTAATAATTCGGGCCGTATATATGGGGTGTCTGGTAATGGATGTGTGCTCTAAATGAGGTCTGACTATAGATCTAGCAATTATCCGTACCAGAAATGCACAAAACGTCTAGATAAACAAAGTACAAGGACCCGGTCGTTGCGTAACAAATTTAGGAAAGATTTTGTTAAACAATGCACTGAACATGGTAATTTTGTGTATCGGACACAGGTACGAAAATGGTTAGCTATTCGACGATTGACTAAGTTTCATCCGCGGTAAATTAATTTTCGTGGCTTTATTGGTTATCTCGAGGCTTGATGCTGCCGGCTTATGGTCCGTTTATTGTTCGCGTGCTCAAGAGCTCGCGCAATGAAATCTGGGGAATGTTTGTTGCCAAAGCAGGCTCGTTTGTCAATACCAAGATCAAAGGGATTCAGTGCGTTTCCCCTGATCGTTGACTACATTTACTGGGAAAACGCAATTGCCCCGGCTTGCCTTGTCACGAAACACCGTCGACTGGATTCTGGTCAAATATATGTATTAATCTGTCGCGCATAGTGCAATTTGTAGCACTGTTAATATTAGGCTAACGTAGGAACTATGCTAGGTCGCTCTACAAGTAACGCAAAGTAGCTCGATTTTCCAACGACGCGTTCTCAGGAATTAATCGTAGAATTCTTTCATTTTTACGTGAGTGGAAAGAACGATTTCCTATAATAACAGAAATAGTTGGGATTTAATCGTGGCTAGGTAATTTCGAAAACAAGTCATTTGGAACGTTTCGTGGAATTCTTTATTCAGGACGGATAGGAAGGAACGTAGTCGTCGAAGAAGAAATATTTTCACGATCGAAGGACTTGCCTTTAATTTCTTTCCTAACGGCACTTGAGGGTGTCGTTTCTTCTCCTCGTGGACGGTCCGAACGTCTCGGTAGGGTGATTAAAAACGAAGCTAATAAATTGGTTTAAAGTGCTTTCAAGATGGCGCCGTTGATGGCAAATCATGAGACGAAGGAAATGGGAAAGCAGCGTCCCTCCATCCCCAAACCGTCTCGAACGCGTCTTAACGAGGCTTCCAGCCTGGCCACTCTTTTTTTGAGTAGGTCCCCCATTGCGTTCGATAAAGTGTCTCCGTTTCACGATGGCTACCGTTTATCGACTTACCCGTGGAATCGCTTAGACGAATTTTTCAGCCACGGAATGGCTGGTATTTATTTTCCAAAAAGTATCGTCAAACGCTACAATTTCATTTAATGCATTCGGAGATTCTTTCGATACTTTTGAGCGAACTAAAATAAGGTTCTAATATAAAAAATGCCTCAAGATTTCCGCAACATCGATAATAGAAGCTCCTGAATGACAAACGAAAGGCTCTCGAGGGAATACTCTTGATTCTTCATCTGGAATTAAAACGACGTCGGTGTAAGAACACGTACCAGCTTGTTAGACCTGATTTCATTTCCGCCGAAACGATTACTTTGAATTTTAAATTACGATAAATAACGACGATAAACCAGCGAATATATTTGAATAGATGAATATTAAGATGAATATTACAACGTGTAGCTAGAGCTCCCTGTATTAAATAAATAATCAAAATGTCAGGAGCGTTTAATTTTGTTTGCGCGAAGCCACTCGATGATATCGTCTTTCGTCTGGTTCTAAAGATACCTCTTCCGTCGCGAACGCAAGTCAACGTTTCCACTCGTCGTGTGCGAGTTCGCTCGGTTATGCATTAATTAGACACGCGAGGAACATACGCGCGGAGACGTAATTAAAACCACGTTCGAAGATACAGCTCGGCCAATTTCAATTACTGTCTTTCGCCGCAACAAGCGTCAAAAGAATACATCTATGAGTTTTTAAGAAAATTACAGTAAATTATAGTGAATTCTCGGGACTCTATTGTTCGCAGCATCCTCGAGAGACTGAGGTCCCTATGATATCCTTGAGGTGCACAGGATCTCGTTCTCAAGACACTCAGGATCCCCCAGAACTTGTAGGATACCTCTGGTACCTTCCAAACACCTATCACCTCTGTCACCTACGATATACGTCAGGTACTTATCAGATTCCACGATACTTGGGGTCATATGCACCGAATTTATCTACTCCATGATCATCGTTAATGAAATACCACGAGCTTACAGTTCATGGCAACGGCTTATAAATTTCCTGGGTTATTGGTTTCATGTTCCATGGGTAGCACCCATGGGAACGTCGCGAATACTAAAAGGAAACTAAAGTTTACTCTGACCAAATTGATTCTAATCGAAACTATCGGAAATTTATTTGAGCTTAAGAGGACAGAATGTACGTAGGTTTCTATTTCTCCTCTAATTATCAATCGAGCCGTTACTTATCGTCAGCCTAAATCATTAAGAGATCGAACATCTCGTCTACGAAACGCATTACTCGCGAAGATGGTCGAAGCTTTATTAAGCGCAATATCTGTCTCAACCTCGCCTATTGACCAAGGGCTGGGGTCATCCTTCCCCCTCGGCACCTTGACATATACACACCTGAAAACTACCCCGTCGAAAGGTCATTCCGAGTTCCGTTAGCGTCCAGGTCACGCCATTTCTCCAGTAGTTACCCTTCGAACCTTTGTTGCGAGCCACGTTATATTTAGAATTCTGCCACTCGCGTTATATTGTTATTAAATAAAAGTTACTCGAGTCCCTTACACCCGGCATGTCGCCCAACGATAGTTCACCGTGTAAACGATGCAATGAAACACGTACAGGACAAATGGTCCGCGCGTGCAGTCGCATGAAAACACCTGAAAAAAGAGACAGATCGGATTAATGTTTACACGAACCTTTCCTTCCTTTTCTTTCTTTTTTTTATTTTTTTTTATTATTATTTTTACGAGCTGCATTCGCCTCTGGATTTACGCCCCATGGTTTACGATACACTCCGGAGCGCGTGTTATCAGAGAATTCGAGATATTTTTCCCCGTGGCGTACAAGCAGTCGTAAAATAGCTTCCATTTGGCCAAGAATCGACGAAACACGTCCGTTTCCCGCGACCACTTACAACCGTATCACCGACGCTGCGAAGCGTGGGTGTTGGAAACGAGTTTACGCGACGATACCATTTGCTGCTAATGCGTTTTTAGACTTTGCGGTATGTAGCCCCGTAAAGAAGCCGCAGGGGTGCCGTACAATGAGGATATACTGGAATTCATGGAGTTTGCCGAGAGCCAGAAAGAAAGGGAGCCAAGGGGAGAGTCGCAGGGAGCGAGTTAAAGCGGAGCGGATAACGCGAAGGGTGAGAATCACGAGGGTTGCTACTTGCGTTGTCGATCGACCAGTACCATGCATTCAATGCTGATAATCAGACTGCAGATCTTTATCACTTGTACTATATACAAGAAAAAGAGGTCATTGTGAACAAACAAGACACTCGCGATAGGTTATTTGGCTCCGAAACTGAATTTCGAGTATTCGTCACTTGTCAGCGTGTTGAAACAGCGACATGATGTATGTACACGATGTCCCATTTTAATCACTCCGCTGAGAAATGCGCAGTCATCGAAAGCAGTAAACATTATTAATTGAAACGTACGATAATAATATTTTCTGAAGTTAAGATATATTTTGAATTCGTTCTGTGATGAATGAACGAAATACGAAGTGGGACATTTGAAAATGTTCGATTGTGACCTGAATACATTGTGCTTCGTCCATTGTCTCGTAATTCCATATTAGTTTCGTCGATTTTTTGAGTAAAATGAAGAACTTGTTCCATGATACAACTGAGCCTTGGTTCGATCCTCATTATTTACGATAACGGAATGCTATCAGTCGTTGTTAACAGGCGAAAGTATGCCACCGAAAGTAACAAGTTACGCAAGTGAACTATTGTTTCTCGGATTAGCTGAAACGTAACAGTGGGCAATTCGAAGAAAAGTGCCGAAGATAAGAAAACGTCGAGTACATCGTTTCCTCGCCTCGTAAAGTTTATAGCACGAGTTTATAGTTAGTACGCTTATAGCATTCCCGTGAAATCAAATCGTTAAGTATATGTACTCATTTAACGCGAGGAAAATAAAATTTTTCCCCGTTATCCTCATTTTAAATAACAAAATATCATGTCTGATCGACCGAAGGGTATGTCATTTTTTTTTATCTCGATCATAAATTTTCAGACGCTAAACGCGCGTGTA